ATATTGCAAGCACAATTTAATGATCAATTTTGAATTCAACTTATAGTATACAATATTTCAGATTTTTTCCAATTATTATGATAGTTAATCACTTAATGGATACAGAAAATTATTGAACTCAAGAGTTGCCTGTAATGCCTCACACCATAGAGAATCACATCAATGACCTAAAGTTCAATTACTCTTGTCTCATTTATATTGATGCCACGCTACACATTTTAAAGAAAAAACATTCTTTCGTAAATATTAATTTGCCAGTTGTTTTCTCATACCTACTACTTTTATGAATCTTCCTATCTTAAATGAAATTAAGTGTAGAAACTCAAGTATTTGAGGAAGAAAGTTTAATTTTGTACACTGTTTGCTTGCAGAAGTACCTAGGTAAATCTTTATACCTACCAATTATTAGCAAAGTCTAAATGGAAAAAAGAAAGATTTTTCAGTGACAATATGATACCACTTAAGTCAATTGTTCTAAACCTGTGGGTCGCAACCCCTTTGGGATTTGAATGAATCTTTCACAGGGATCACATATCAGATATCCTGCACATCATATGTTTACATTATAATTCATAACAGCAGCGAAATTATGGTTATGAGGTAGCAACAAAAATAACTTTATGGTGGGGAGGGGGGTCACCGCATGAGGAATTGTATTAAAGGGTTGCAGCATTAGGAAGTTTGAGAGTCATGGCCTTAAACGATAATGTACAACTGGGAAGCCTGTAGGGGAGGTGGTCTCTGAATGTGAATGTTCAACAAAGATTCAATATGAAGTCACGGAGAGTAACGTTCTCTCTGCATAACTGCCCCTTTCACCCAATGTGCTTTCCTTCATGTCTATCCAAGCTTTAAGTGTTTTTTAAATGTATTTTTAAAGTTGTGTATACTTTTATGTTTTAATGTGCCTTAAAAAGCCTTTCTATATACTTTTCTAACTTTAATAGTTCCAATTCCTTTCATGAACTTATCACTTCTACTACAGAGAGTATACAGAACTTCTTGGGAGCCATCTAAATATCTGTTTTTTTAAATTAATAATATGGGCATATATAACTTGCTTGGATTTAAGCAAATATACAAATTCACCTGTCTATCTTGCCCTAAATTCTCTGTCTTGCTTGTTCTCGCCTTCCTTTCTCCCACTGTAGTAACCAGGGCAGAAGGGCAAATGGGACATGTGGCCTTTTATTTGATCAAAGGTAATGATCAACCAAGCCCAGAGGAAGAGAGATCAGCTGTCCTAGTTCAGCTGCCTGATAGAATCTTTGTACATTCTCCCCAATTGTGAGTCCATCTGTGCTATCACCAAGAAGGAAAGAAAAAAAAAATACTCCAGAAGCAGAGGGGCTGGTGCACCAGGATGAGGACATTTAAAATGGTTTCAGATATACATTGGTAGGAACTGCCACTCTATGGTTAGAAATCAGCCCTTTATTTGTTTCCACGATTCCACAGAGCTACAGAATGTTTGCTTCCATTGTTCCCTTAATTTATCTATTATCTTCTTTTCCTACTTCATAGTTTTGATTCTGTGGTTCTCTTTTTCTCATCTTTACGTTTTAAGTAAATGGTGCATGTCTCAGCTTTATGCCAAGAAACACCAAAATGTACTCATGTAGTCTATTCATTAGTCATGGCTTCCAGAATAAATGTTCTTTATTTCTCTACTTTTTCTGAGAATGATGAAGGAGCAAATTTATCCCAGGGTGCTCTAGCTATTTGTTGTCTTAATGTGTTTCTTCAAGCATGTGAAGAAAATGTATAAAGTATGGTGGAGTTTCTATGAATATGTCTTTTGGACACATGCCATTTAGGTGATAATAATGCTTAATATCTCTCGGACCGTGCAGTACAACTTTATTGAATGCCACTGAGGTTTTGTGTCACTTTGATGCTACAAATCCCATGATTGATTACTTGCATTGTTTCTGGTTCCCAGGACACAGATCTTAGTTGTTTATGTTACAGTCAAACCACCAGGTAGGAAAATGAGATCTATCAGCCAAAGGCTGTTGGCTTTGGAAACTTCTCCAGTGCTCAGTCAATTAAATATTCTGTGTGTTCTGTTTATTTCTTGTTTTCAGCATTTTGATTTTTTTCTCTATATACCCATGATGACTGTAAACTCTGTAGCCCAGGTTGCCCTCAATTCTTCCATCTCAGCCACAACTAATGGAATTACGTATGTACATCACCACACCTGGCTAATATTCTCCTTTTTTTTCTTTTTCTTTTTTTGTTTATCACATTTATTGCAAATGTTGAGGCTTTAACCATATCATGCCTACAACACGGTAGTGTATTTGCCACCGATCAAGAAATTGTAGTAACCCAAGGAATTTTAGGAACCAAATATAGCTTTCATTTTACACCTAAGGCTTTGACCTAGAATTTGCTTCTACTCCAGTAGGCAAAACTGTCTCTAGCAAAAATAGTTCACGCAAAAGATTTATCTTCATGTAAGTTGGAAACGTTTTTGATGAATAGTGCTTGCTCTGAGCTCCGATGGGAAATTGGATTTCATTCCTTGGGAAGATCTATGGGGAAGATGTGTCTGGATAGTTTCTCTTGTCTAAGAGAATGCGAGATAGTCACCCAACATTGAAAGCAAATGAGTTGCTAGGCTATTGAGAGGTGTGTTTGCATGGAGGAATAATTTCAAGGGAGGAAGCCATATGTTTATAACCTCATCAATACTCACTGGACTTTACAGTATGTATTGTGACATTGCCATTGATAGTGTGTCAAACTGTGACCTCTATAATGCCTAGAATTCAACAATCATGGGTGATTATTGCTGTTTACTCTCACTTACACTTTACTTGCTGCTCACTATGTGTGGAGTTCATCTTCTCTTACCTACTGCTGCTATCCCTTCTTAGATCTCCCTGTCTCCAAAGATATAGTCATAGTTAATTTGAACACATACAGATGTTGGTGCTTTAAAGGTTTTTTTAGGGGGATTCATACCAACAAGGCAATTGGCAATAATCTACTTTTAAGGTGTTATAAAGCAGTTCTTCCTAATGTTCAGCATGAGTATAAATCAATATATTAAATATTATTGTTGTGAAAATTAAATTAATATGTCTTGTTAATATTTTAGAAAGAATTCTCTAAGTATAGAGAAATTCATTAGTCATGTCCTAAGAATTTTGCTTTGAGCATTTGTAAATGTGGACGCCTTTCCTCTAACTTCAAAGTAGAGCAGACAAAATCATATGCATACACCCAAAATGCCATCACTGGAGAAACTAACAGCTGACTAGGATAATGCAGGCATTAGGCATGGAAATGTCTGGTACTGAAATTATCTGAGAAGTTAAGTCTGCCATCTAGACAACTCCCTGTGACCAGGAATAGTTTATTCTTGAATTTATATATTAATGCTCAATGAAAACTAGGGTGGGGTTATTGTCATTCCCAGCGAGCTAAGAAATTATTATTATTAAAGACTATAGACCACTTTTAAAAATAATGGTAGTTGGGGAGATGCCTCAGCTGGTGAAGATCCAATTCAGCATGAGGATTTGAGTTCAGATCTCAATCACTGAGGTACCCTCAGTGTTGAGGAAAGCGATGACAGGCTGATTCTTGGCGTTAGCTATCCGGCCAGCATAGCCAGACCTGTCTCCTAAGAGTAAGGTGCAGTTGAAGGACAGACACCCAGCATTTTGATGTTATGATAAACATTGAGACCAGAAGCAATGTGGGTGAGAAAGTGGGCTACTGTGGTTTGGCTTATGAGTCCATCCAAGGGGGAGCTCAAGCAGGAGCTTGTAGCAGAGCACATAGAGTAATTGTGGTTTCTGGCTTATTCTGATTTACAAGCTCATGCTTAGCTAGTTTATTGATAACCCAGGACCATTTAGGAATGGAGCCACTCACAGTGGGCTGTGCTGGCCTATACCAATCAAGGCAAACTCTCACAGGCACACCCACAGCTCAACCTGATAAAGGTAATTACTTGAGTAAGACTCCATTTTCAGGAGATTCTAGACTGTGTCAAGTTGACAGTAAATGTATCCTAAGACAGTTGTCATTGACCTGTAGCCATGCCGACCCCCCACCCCCAACACCAACAATTGGCCAGGTGTGATTGTTTCTTACCTATAATCCCAGCATTTGGAAGTCTTCAGCTTCCTTCCCTTCTTTAAAGGAGGACTGTGAGTCCAAGACCAGCCTGAGCTAAGTAGTGAGACTCTTTTGAAGGCATATGTGTGGTGGGGAGATACAGTAGTTGGGAATTAGTTATTATAATATACTCACATGAAGAGACTATACAGTTACCAACAAGTTGTCAGAATCATCTATCTAATACAGAAAGGTTCAGAAGTAGTAAGAATATAGCAATATGTACACAGATGTGTTAAAAAAATCATGCATCCACATGGACATTTTTGTGTGTGTGTATAAAATTATGTATGTAGGCTTTATTTATGAGTGATTCATTGTATGTGGGATTTCTTTTTTTTTTTAATTTCTAAGCATCTTTTCTACTGTAATTAGGAAAAACATTCTCCATTTTTGCTAAGAACGATTAATCACTGCCTAACTGATCTCTCTAGAGAGACAAACATGGTTAATGGGATTTCACTTCTCTAACTCTTAAAAGCAGTAATTCTGTTCCATTCACTGCTACATTGTCCAACCATATAGGCGAAGTTTTAATTTTAAAATTGATCAGGCTCTCCTGTTTTATTGCTTGCTTTTCAATGCTAACTTAAGATAATATGAGCTAGAGCTCTCTCTGTCTCTTTCCTGTGGATTGAAATGAGGGACTGCTTTCAGTCTGCCTATCTGCTGCCACAGCCCCTCCCCCACAATGGTTATGGATGCTAACCTTCTGGAACCCGGAAGTGACACAAGTGTACAGGAAGTCTCTCCAACCACAGCGTGGGCTGTCGTGAAGAGTCGGATCTGTAAACTCCAGAAGTTCTACTCTGCCGCAGGCGGCTGCTATGGAGAGCTTCTGGGGAAATGATCCATTGGTTGCCATGTCTGACCGGGAGGCAAAACCTTCAAGTGAGATTTTAGAGGATAAAGTTATTACAGTCAAAGTGATTGCACAGGATGGCAGTGAGATACACTTCAAAGTGAGGATGACAACGCAACTCAAGAAACTCAAAGAATCGTATTGTCAAAGACAGGGTGTCCCATCCAACTCCCTGAAGTTTCTCTATGAAGGTCAGAGGATTGCTGATAGCCACACTCCAGAGGAGCTGGAGATGGAGGAGGAAGACATGATTGAAGTTTATCAGGAACAAATCGGCGGCCATTCAACGGTTTAGATATTCTGCGTAATTCCTCTTTCCCCTCAATAGTGTTTTATTTATTTTTATTTTTTTAAGGTTCTTTTGTAATGTGGTATTCACAGTGAAAATTGAATACTGGCACTCCATCTCTAGAACATCTGGCGATCTGAGTTCTAGCGATCAATAGTCATTATTGGTGGTTTTTATTGTGCTGATTTTGGTGATCAGACCTCAGCTTCCTCTTCTAAAATTCACATATGCCCCTGAAGCTACGCTTCTCAGTATCAGTTGGAACTTTCCTATACCATCCAATCGGTCAGGAAATCCGGCATGTGGCTGCTTCACACCGGGCCTGTGATTTTCAGTGGAAGATGGAAGTTTTCAGGGAACTGAACTGTGGAAAAACACCTCTCCTCAGCTTGAAGCTGCTCCTAAGACCTGAGGATCTGGACCAAGAGCGGGAGACCGGGTTTGGAGTCAAGATGACAGATCCGGCTGGAACTCAGCAGTCTCTTGATGCTTTCTCTTCAGTGAAGCTGCCTTCGCCAGTCTTGTCAGACGAGCCCAGATATGCTCTAATTTTCACCAGCAGTTAATAATAAAGTTATTTGTGCAAAAAATAATATGAAACATTTTAACTTATTGTAAACTTGCTTCACTTTTTTAGAACCAAGGTGTTTCACATATAAAATTAATCTCTCCATTTGGTCTCATTCCTCTCCTTTCTCTTTTGCCTTTCTTTCTTCTTAAAAGGTATTTATTTTGTTACTTTTAATCATGTGTATGTTAATATGATTGCAGGTGCCAGTAGAATCCTTAGGTGCCTGATTTCCCTGCAGCTGGAGTTACAGATGGTTGTGAACCATTTAACATGGGTGCTCAGAACCAAATTTCAGTCCTCTGAAGGGATAGTACTTAGTGTGTGTTCTTAACTACCGAGTTAACTTCCCATCTCCTCTTCTCTCTCAGAAGTAATAATTATCCTGAAGATAACTGTACATATGTGTGTATGTATGTATGTGTGCATGACTATGTATACTCGTATACAACCCAATCTCATGTTTGTGCTTTTATAACATGTTCGCTTATAAATAACATTTTTGTTTTTAAACATATATAGCTATTAAAATTTATTCTTCTGAACTATATTTTGTCAACATAATTTATTATTAAGAATAGGTATCATTACTACTTTCTTGAATTATAGTGTGACATTGCGTTCATACTTGTTCTTTTAAAACTCCATTTATGTAGTTACAGTTTCTTTAAGCCACTAACCAGCTCCAAAATAAAAACATGGAGGCTTATTAAATAAATTAAGAATGCTCAGCCTTAGCTTAGGCTTGTCCCATTAGCTCTTTTAACTTAGTTTAGCCTATTCCTATTTATCTACATTTTTCTCTGGGGGCTTTTTACCTTTCTTTAATTCTGTACTTTTCTTCTTCCTCCATGTCTGTCCGACTGGCCTCTCATCTCTCTGTCCATAAGTCCCACCTGTATCTCTTCCCTTGTTATTGGCCATTTAACTTTTTATATTAGACCAATCAGATACTTTAGGCAGGCAAGGATAAACAGCAACACATCTCAACATAATTAAACGCAACATATTTCTGCATAGTTAAAAAAATTATTCCACAACACATGTATTTATTAATCTCAATTTAATGTATCAATATCATGCTAGCAAGAATAATGTTCCAGTGAACGCCCTAACATCTGTCTTCTGAGGGAAGGCACACATTTGTTTAGTATGTATACCTACCACGGGATTGTACAGGGAGTATGCAGGGGAGGCTTTGGGGTTTCAGGACAGATTTAGAGAAGACAGCATCTGTCTAGAAGGTTAAACAAGGATCCTCCAGGCTCAAGAGAGGCTTGTGCCTTATGGAAGAAGAAAAAACTTTACAGAGCTTATCGAATTCTCATGTATGAACTTTCTCATCTCGGCTTCAATTATGTCTAGTGTTGGTCTTTATGTCCAGGTCTGACTCACTTCTCAATATCAGTTTGCTTCACATAAGAAAGACTTTGAATTGAGCTTGAAGTTTCCATTAAAATATTTTCTTTTATGTTGCTTGCATCAGATGTCTTAAAATATCATATAGATAGTATAGATATTGATTTTTATAAGTATGTCTGGCTTTATTGACCATTTATCTTTCCCATCCCAACACTTCCTAAGCTGATCCACAAAACATAGTGCAATGCAAGTCCAAAATAGAGTGATTCCCTTTGCTGTCTAAAACTCCCGTAAAAACCAAATTGCAGACAAATTCCCTCAAGCCGCACACATTACATTAATCAATAGTGTGCCAAGTAGGGAAGTTATGGGAAAGCTTACACACAAGTGTGGGTGTTCTTCTAAGGTCAAAGGGGAACCAGTGAAGGACCTTAGGTGGAGGCATGATTTGTACTTAAGATGGATTCCCCCAGAGGTGACGGAAGAAATGATGGAGTCCTGCGTGAAAATATCAGCCTGACAAGCAACGAGATTCCACCCTGGTCTGTGTAGAAGGTGAGTGAGCTCAGGAATACACAGTAATAGAATTCCCAGAAAAGGGTGCAGCAGGGAGATTTAACATGACCTCAGGATCGTTGCTTCCACAGCATCACAACATCAACGGCCACATGATGGGATGTGATCCAAAAGTGTGCACATAGAGGAGTCTGAAGAACACCCATGGGGGATTCATACATGTCCAGGGTGTGCACATAGAGAAGTCTGAAGAACACCCACAGGGGATTCATACATGTCCAGGGTGTGCACATAGAGGAGCCTGCAGAACACCCCTGGGGTGGGGATGCAGTTGAGCAATGTCTGTTGACATCCAGCTTAGTGGATTGGGAGAATGGTTTTGGCAAAGATTTCCCTTATAACAGTGAAAAAAGGACAGAGCACATCTTGTTAACTTTATAGTTAGAAAAGACATTAGAAATGTCCAACACATGAACAAATTCTGATTGTCAATTTAAATTATTCATTTTATATATTTTCCTCTTACTGAAAATAGATTTTTTTTCTCTCACATAATATATCCTGATTATGGTTCCATCTCCTTCTACTCCTCCAACCTCTCTTTTCCCATCTGGATTAACCAGTTACATTTTTTTAATATAAACTAATCGACTTTGAAAATGAAAAGTATTTCCTAACTTGTAGAACTTTTCACTAAAAATTTAATGCTGTTAGTGTCTATTGCAGACCTATGGAAAAGGAAAACCACCAGAATGAAATAAACATTGACACAGCCCCTTGTAGGACTGCTGATTAATAAAGGAAAATGAATATTATTAATGATATCAATAGACTATGTGTAAAAGCAAATTGTTTAACATATTGTTTGTAATTTTATTTTTATGTCTAACGATGAAGCCACATTTTACCCCGTGATGGTTGCTTTCTGCAAAATTTCTGTTTAGATGTTAATGATTTACTAGATTTTGCATTTTCTTTTATTCGTATGTGACATTCTTATTTGGAGTCTCTTGCTAGGGAACTCTAGCAAGAAGGTAGTCTACATTTCACATAAAGACAAAGAAGAACGGCGTGTGCTGACTGACTCTATGAGCTTAGAATAATATCGATAGTGACAGCCTGTGCTGACAGAACCTGGGCATGTCCGGAACTGCAGTGCAGAGCTGAATAGCTCAACTATCTCATTTTGCAGGAGAGCATCAGAAGCTAAGTTGTCTAACTTCTAACACACTAATGAAACCCCTAGTGCAGATCTGCTGAACTCTGTCATGTTTTAAACTAAATAATACACATACATAAAAATACGGCAGTGAACCCCATTTTTGTATGTTAACCTAAAAATTAACAAAAACAAAGTGCTGTGTGTGTTGGTCCTACCCTAAAATCATATTTTTGCATCCATTTTGGCTTTCTCTCTTAACGAGAACTCGGGAACTCATTTCTTTACATTTGAAGGGGCCAGTCTGGGACTTGGGAAGCTGGTTTTGTTAGTAACGCTTTGGGTGCGGCCACGACATCCTGGTACATCTTGCTCCCTCCCGGATGAAGACTTGCTGACTCAGCTGAAGAAAGCACAGCACAAGCCTCATAGGCACCACACTAGGCCACACCTCTTAGCATTGAAGTTGTGCCGAAGATTAGCTTGGAGAGGAGCAGCTCAGGATTTACCTCAGTTCCTAGCCACTTTGCCCTTGTATTCCTTAGAGAACAGCCACACACGATAGCAACACAGCTAGCTGTGCCAGGGCCTGTTTCTTTCTCTGGGGGGAGGTTTATCCTCAGAGGGCTTTCTCTGCTGGCTTGATCTATACTCCCCGGGCAAGTGACAACTCCGATACTGTGAAAACACAGCAAGTGTCGCTCCCTGGTACAGTGTCTAGGTTCTAAGTGGTTTCTTCGAACAGCAGAAAGTTAAAATACATGTTAAGAGTGGCAAAGGTGTCCACACAGTGAATAATGACTGACAAAACTGCTCATGTGTCAACCAGCACAAACACATCACATCCCCTCACATCCACAAATACAAAGACAAGAGACCCTGCCACTGGGTAATCTAGAATACAGGAACAGTTTTATTTTCCATAGAGGTCATGTGCAGAGCATTAATAAGCTAAAGTACACAAATCCAAATGACAAATGCTGATTAACAAACTGCCTACGAAGCTCATATTTGCTTCAGTGTGTTTAAAGATGCTTGAAGGCTGTAAATCTCTGACCCTCACTGTGAGTATTGATTGGTAAGAACAGCACCCTTGTTTTTTACCTAATAAAAGGAATAGTTTCTCTTTGCTTTAGAGCAGATATCATATTGAGTGGTTAATTTTTCACTTTTGTAAATGGGTGCACTGCTTCCTTGGAGGTTCCATGGCTACCAAGAAAAGACGCAAAATCTCAGCATTACACCAAGAGATCTTGGTTTGGGATCTTCAGTTACTTTCAGCTTTGGGATTAAAATCATACCAACAATGCAAGAAGATGTCCTTTGAATGCAGCAATATATATTTCTCTTTGTTATGCAAATTTATTTTTTTCCCAAGAGAAGTACTATGAGATTGAATTT